GACCACATACCCATATGAGTAGTAGATTGTGGTTATAAAAATATGTATATAACATAAATTTGACGGGTGAATTATGACTAAGCCTACAAACACGATGTTTGAATGAATAAAACATGAAAATTAGATAAAAGAGGTCTAATTGTGTATTGATATGGTTTTTTGTGAATTCTTGATGAATATTTTATATTGGTATGACTTACTTGATGAATTGCAAGGTGAATATATATATATATATATGAATATATACCATATTAAAAGAATAGTGTGAGCTTGTAACTAGGAATTAGGTGTAATTACCAGGATGAACTTGAGGGGTTGAGGGTGTGTTGTTGGGTCCTTAATTAACCCTAATTAGGTTGTTGTTCATGATAATGAATGGGGAAATCATTAGGCTATGATTAATTAGAGCTCGACTTGACTTAGATTCATTTATACTCGTGAGTTTAATTGATCTTCAGATATGCCTGATTTGATAATCATGTGAATTGAATGTTTAAAATACATTAATGAATTGGATATCATGTCGATAGACGATACGTATGTCATATAATTTATATGTGTATTACTATTACGGAGGGACGAGTATCACGCCCATGTATATACTTATACTATTATTTGGAGACTCGAATACCATATCGATACATTACATGGACGAAGTTGATCTCCTACTAGTCATGTACACTTTATTTATTATTATGAGTTTATAATGCATTTAAATTATTAGGTGACTATGTGGCATGATATAAATGGGATTCGGCTCCTCTCCATTTCTCTTCTCTCTATTATTTTCAAGTCCTAGCTTGGATTGAAGACACATGTCATGGTTTAGAATTAATAATTGAGATCTAATTAATTAAAGCAAAGTTTCCACCATAGTTATTTACTTTCATATATTTGCTTCTTAAATATTTTTGCAATCCATTATATTTTCCCTAAATATATTAAATGTGAATTACCTCGTGAAGAGATGACTATGCAATATAGGATCTTCACATGGATCTCGTGACTTCTATGCTTAGGTATATATTTACATGATTACATGATTTAAATCATGACTCAGAGACGTATTCAAATTTTAAGTTTTAGTAGTATATTCTAAAATTATTAGTTCATATTCACTATTTATTATATATTATAACTTTCATATTTTCTTATATAATGATGTATTCTCTATGTCGAAAATATTGAATTCAAATAAATTCTATATCAATAACTCGAAAAATGGCACTAATCCTAATCAAAGAGAAAATGAAGATGAAATAAAATTAAAAATTCTTATAATAATTAACATATTTGGATGCCATATTTGAGATTGAGCTTCATAGGATCTAATTTGGATGATTAATCTAGTCAACTATGAACTATTAAGGAAAAAGTATAAAAATAACAAAGGATAAGAATAAAAGCTCACAATTATGTAAGTGGAACATAAAAGGATATTTATTAATTAAAAGAACTTTTAAACAAAGATAAAGATACATCTTTATTTTTTTAATTAACATGCAACTAAGAAAAGAGTGTAACAAAGAAATACAATAATATACTATTTTATAAATTGAATTTATAAATTGTTTACCAAGTAAAGAAAAAACCAATGAGATATTTTAAATTTGAATCTTAAATATTAAGTCTTTTAACTTAAAATATTTACCTAATATAGAACTTTTCACGTGAATTTGAATTAATTAGTGAAAAGTTGAACAGATATCAGTCTTTTCATGTGAACTCGAATTATTAGTGAAACATTGAACAGATATCAGTCTTTTCACGTGAATTTGAATTAATTAGTGAAAAGTTTAATAGATATAAGACATTAAGTGAAAAATATAAAAAAATACATTAGCACAAAAGAATATGAAATAAAAAGATGTCCAAGTTCACTATTATATTACAAGTTAAAAGCCTTATTTAAGTCCCCCATTGACTAGACTAAACCAAAATAAATAAATACCAACACCATATATTCTTATCTTTATATAAACACAACTCTATTACCCTTTTTAGTTACTCATTTCCAAAATGGCTACAAGAAAGAACTTCCAATTTCTTGGATCAATGGATAAAAAAACTAGCTCTGATGATCTCCTATTTGAGTTTGATGAATCTGACATATGGGAAAACACTACTAATATTATTTCTCATCACTCTGAGTCCAAAAGGTTGATACCTACTTCGCGTATCTCAAAAAGATCACCATCACCACCACCATCACCACCACCAGCAAGATCATTGCCAATCAACATACCGGATTGGTCAAAAATCCTAGGTGATAAGAAGAAGAATGATGATATTCGAGACAAGGAGGAAGTGGATGCAGATACCTGGATTCCACCTCATGAATATTTGGCTAAGAAAAGAGGGGCTTCATTTTCAGTGCATGAAGGTGTGGGGAGGACACTCAAAGGAAGGGATTTGAGTAGGGTGAGGGATGCTATTTGGAAACAAACAGGTTTTGAAGATTAGTAACTTGGCATTTCGCAAGGTGGTACTTGTTATGTCTCATCAGTATAGATATCGAATAGATATCATTTTGGTACTTAAGTTTATGAGAACTCATATAATTATTATAATAATGTTATTGATCGTTAGGTCAAACCTTTAGATACTTTTTTGGGGGGTTTTGATGGATTAATGTGTTGTGTTTTATTAGTATTTTGGGGGTAGATTGATCTTATGTTTAACTAGTAAGACTTCAATGCATAGGATCATGACTTACATAAGTTTATGTTATATTAATATATTTCCTGTTTTGTTGATATCCTCTTTCCTTGATATTTTTAACTTTTAATTTAAGTTTTCGAAATATAGAATTGTTACTAAATGATTTTGTAGGTGTTTGGACATGTTTGATTGAGATTTGATTAAAAAAATGTATTTGAAGTTAGCTTTAAAAGGGTATTTGAAAATTGAGAATAATTTTTGTTTCATTTCATGTTACTTATTACAATTTGAAGAACTAAAATGTTTTTATCAAGATATTTTTCAAATAACATTTTTTATCTCTGAATTCACAACAAAATTAAGTAATGTGATTCTCAAATTTCGAATTTCCATCACATAAAATAGAACAGAGAAAATAATTTGTTGTTTCCTCCGACCCTATGAACGGATGATAGAATAAAACTACTGAAACGGCATTGGGACTTTGATATTTCAAATGCGAAAATGCACATCATGTTGATTAGTTATAGTGGAATTATTTTTATATTTATTGTTTTAGATGAATAGGGTGCACTAGAATAAGAATAATACTGAATATGATGTATCAGAATAGAAATAATACCTTGTATTGTTATTACTATCGTTCACTATATATTAAAATAGTACCAAGTAGAGTATATATAACTAATACGCGTATTAATTATAGCACATTTAGATTTCAACCAAACATATAAGTACTAAAATTTACAACTAATATCCAACCTAATACGTTCTACCAAACTAGTAAGACAGTGCATACTGTGTTGCTAATAATTATACTTGTCTAACCATAAAAACTATACTTCTTTTAGAGTAATTCTTTTGAGAAAACGATTATGGAATTTTTTTTAGGGTAAAAATCCTAATTATACAAATTTTGTTTCTCTGTCTTTGCAGTTATATATGTAAGACTTTTGGGTAGTATTTTAGTGGTAGGTAAGAAAGCTACACATTAGCTTCCAGAAAGCTAAATAACAGATTTATCCCTCATCCCCTAGGGCGTAAAAACATAAGTGAGATTCTTTCATCTTTAATTTGAAGTCTCGGAATGAAAAATTGTTTAATAGAACGCGTTTTATATCTTGAGTGTATCTATTCTATTTCCGATGCAGATTTGAATTAATTGAACTAGTAGACTCTTACCTGCCTAATATGATTAAACAAAATGAAAAAAAAAGAAAAAAGAAGAAGAAGATAATTTGCTGTTCTTGTTTATTTAGAATTTTGATGTATAAGAATTTGTTTTTGTAAATGTGTACTAATAAATTGGCCTCTTGTTATTATCCTTCTGTCCATTTAACATCCATTATCTTATTTTTTTGAGCAATAACTTTCATTGTCTACACCTATTATTGGACGTAATTTTATGAATGTTATTGAAATCTTTTCAATGTTGACACAATTAAGCATTTCTTTAGAAAATCAAAATTATAATTATATGTAATAATTAAACATTGATTCTCATGTATATACGTAGAGACAAACTATTACAAAGTATTTAACTTTCATATGAAGGATATTCAATTTCGAAAACTGTCACGTCTTTTTTCTTGAGCAGTTTTGGCCACATTGCAAGTATAAAACACTGAAGAGATGAAACATGTGACCATAAGATGGTAAAATAATCTAGTTCATGAGCAGTCTAGGCACATAACTCAACCGAACATCCAGAAATAGTGACCCAAGCTTGCAGATCTACTAAACTCATTAAAAACGATGACGGGCCAAAATTTCGAAATAGTTCTTAATTCTTATACAACTTTGTCAATAACGACTGAAATGTGCTGATTTTTACATATAAGAACAGTTAAGGTGGCCGGCCTGACTGAAAAAAGAGAACACTACTACAGCAGTAGAGTAAAGGTCCTTTTGCAGTCGACCAGAACTGCAGCTAGCGCGAAGCCAGAGACCAAAAATTCAAGAAAAAGGAAGGTGATGCAGCAAACCAGCTTAAAAATGCCATCGCTGTAGCTGACATAAATCTCGCGCAGTGGTTCACTTTGCATTTCTCAAGATCATTGCTAATAAGAACTGTTATTCCAGCTGAAGCACAGGCAGCAGCAAATGTAAGAGTAGAAGTGATCTGCACAAAAGTGGAATCATCAACCATAATGATGATCACATATTTTTATTAAAAAAAAACAGTCTACAAGTGCACCATTTGAACTTTCTTTTACAGGTGCCCCATTAAAATTCTGTAGATTGCCAATGATATGTATTAAAATTCCTTACAATAACTGAATATAAACACATTATGCTTGCAGTTGGATGTAGCAGAAAACTGACCAGATTTGTCTTATGAGTAGAAGTGATGAACCATAGTGATGATCACATATTAAAATCATTCCACAGGTGTCCCATTAAACTCAATAGGTCGCAAACAATTTGTTTAAACAGAACTTATTTTAAAAATATGCATTGGCTTACATACCCAGCTCAAAATTTTTGGAAAACGACCTAATCAAGGGTTGGAGAACTGGTGCTAGCAGTTACAATGTATCCAAATGCAGTCTATGCAAAAGATGATCCAATTACTTCTCCTAACCAAATAATAATTACACACCCTTCAAGCCCAAACTAGTTCTTCTCCATATATTTCCATCCTAACTTCTGAGACCGTCTTTTAATGAGTGTCAGGGTTTCTCTAAAACTAGATGTTCTATAAATCTCAAACTTATCCCGAGCCATACCTAATATAAGTGTAACAACAACTTAACATTAGTGACAACTTGTTGGATTAACTAAATGGATTTTCTGTTTCTGTTTATTCATATCTTAGCTAAATCCATAATGATTCCTAAAGATGGAAAATCGTTTGAGATAATTTCCATGTAAGAGATTTCAAATCTACCTCATTTCTTTCTACCATATTTAATACCGCGCTAAAAGACTAAATTTGGTGATCTGTGTAGAAAATGATCAAACAACCTTCAACTTTTTTACTCCACCTTGCATAGTTGCATTCTCATACACCATCTCTAATCTTGTTGACGAGTTCTAAGTAGCAGTGTAAAATTATTCTCATAAAGTCAAATTATAATATAAAAGGTAATCTTCCGCAGAGATCGGTTTCTATCAATGAACAAATTGATTTTGCACGATTATTACAACATACAAAGTGTATCCCACAAGTGGGGTCTGGGGAGGGTGGCATGTGTCTTACCCCTACCTTGTGAACATAGAGGGTTGATTCTGATAGACCCTCAGCTCAAGTAAAGCATATCAAAATCAAGTATGGAAAGAAAAAAGTTTGTGAAGAAGTCATGTAGACATTGAAGAGACTAGTAGCAACAACAAGCACTCCATCATAGAGTTTCAAATTTCCGATGATACAAACAAGCTTAACACAAATCATAACGTAAACAAAGAGGGAAGGGGAAAGATTCATCAGTTTTGGTCTCTAATCCTTCAAATAGTTGAACTGCAACGCCGAATCCTAGCAATGAGGCATTCTTCCCAAAAACTCTTATTTTCTACTTGAAATTCACTAGTTGCAACCGTAGTTATAGGGCTGAAGTAACTTTCTTTCTTCAATTCCTTCAAAATTTCACTCTCTGTCAATACAATGAACAATTGATTTTTTGTAGTTTTCAACAAGGTTGCAGTTGCAGCGCTTCTTGAAGAAGATTTTTTCGTCATGTCATTCTATGCTATCAAGTGGTACAGATAGAAAAGTTCCATTTTTTTTGTTAAGGACTTCTACCCTAGCCTAGAAAAGGAAGCTCATGCTAAGAAAGAGATCTTTACCTAATTTCATTCCAAGTTCAAGCTATTTCAAGAAGATCAAAAGTTGTGAAAATTTCTATTACCTTTCTTTCTTTGTCATAGTTATGTATTAAGTTTTGTTGGTATTATGGGAATTTGAACCCCATCAAGGAATGGGCTTTTGTTGGAATAATGATACATTTTGAAGTATCAATTTGAGGTTAATCTTTCCTGTTCTATCCTATGTGAAATTCTCTTTAATATCTTATTGGGAAAAGGGGCAAATATACCCCTCAACTTCGCAATTTGAGAGTGGCACCCCTTGTCAAAAACGTGGTGCATATACCTCTCACCTAATAACAAATGGTGCATAATGTTCAAAGCATTTATTGAGGTACGAGAAGGTCCTAATTAGAAGTTGTGAAACTATTTGCTACCTTTCTCTCTATCAGTTTTATGTAGTTGTAAAATTCTCTAATTGCAAGAATGGAAAGGGTTCCAAGGCCTAAAGCCTTCACTTTCCTTCTTCAATTCCTTCTAAATTTCATTCTTCACCTCTCCAATAAACAAATTGATTTTTTGCAATTTTCAACAGAATTCCTATAGTTGCAGTGCCTCAATGTCTAAGTAGGAACTTTTACCCTAGTGAAGGAAGCTCAAGTTAAGGAAGATATTTTTACGAAGTTACATTCCACTATTTCAAAGGAAGTAAATATCAAAAGTTGTAAAACTTCTTGTTACTTTTCTCTTTTTGTCCCAGATATATATTAAGCTTGTTTGTATTGTGGGGATTTGAACTTCATCATGGAACAGACTTTTGTAGGAATAATGATTAATCTTGAAGTGCAAGTTTGATGTTAATCTTTACTGCTCTATTCTATGTATGATACTCCATCAATATCTTATTTCTTGAGATATGAGGACCTTTTAGCCTTCTTTAGAAAGTGTTACAATAATGAGTTAACGTTGATGGGTTTATACCGAAAATAATTCACTTGAACGAAATGGGAATTAGCAAAATGGTTTCAAAAAGGCTAGACAAGAATGCCAACCACATTTAGACTTTACAAGGCTTTATCAAACAAAAATGAAGTGAGAATTTCAAAGTAGCATGAAAGGCAAATGTGTATTTGATGTTTCAAAAAGGTCAGCTAGTCAGCAAATAAAATAAAGATTTCAGAGAGAAACAACAGTCCTTATAGAAGAGAAGTTCATTTAGGGTCAATGTAAATGCCAATCAAGTCCCAGTAGGACAGCTGCACAAGTTTTGGTAGAGAAGACAGATTGATCACTGAGAACACAGAAAACAACCTCGAGGAACGAATGGTCTACATATTTGCAAAAAGATGTTTCTTACCCCATCACCAATGGCAAATAGACTGACAATTGCTACATTTCTATAACTTCTTTTCACCAAAATTGCATATACATCGGCAATAGCAAGTACGAGGCTCCATATGATCTGTAATCCAACAGCAGCTACAAGGTAGCTGAAACAAACAAGGGTTCCGAATACTGGTTAGAATCCCTTCATATAACCAATGTTGATCAATAAAAGATAATTCTATTAAAATGTCAACTGGATACAGATCCCTCGAATCTGAAGGAGTTCTAAGTATCCCAACATTGCGTCAATGTCATAATCAAAATTCAAGAGAAGCATTATGCCATATTTTAAAATTTAGAATAAATCTATTTTTCACAAACAAAATATGATCCTTTCATCAAAGCACCTTTGATTCCTTGTGATAATCCCTTCTCCAAAGGAATGCAATTGCATTTAACAATACAACATATCACATACACGAAATGGCAGAAGAAGAAGCAAATGGAGGTAAAATTAAATCCAAATCCCAGCTCTTTTCTGAAGAATATGTGTCAGGTAGATTTATTGATTAAACCAACACTAATGTGTGCTAGAAGTAGGACGAAATAACAATATTATCTCTAACTTAATCCATTGGGTGTTTACACCGTTCATCTGATAATAAGATACCACACAAAGCATTCAGCTTACTCCTGTGTACACTAATTCAAGTATGACTCAGTTGTGAAGCTATATATGTGCTTTTATCTTTTTTAGAAGAATTTCATGATTAATCTCTTTCGGTGAATTAAAATACAGATGCAGGAAGAAGACTGCATCCAAATTAGAAGAACATTAACTACTCTGCATGAGAAACAGAAAACCCATTGTTCAGATAAATTTGCATGAAACTATTGAGAGAAAGGCAGTAAAGCACATGCAACTCAAAGAGGTAAAAGTTGTCAGCAAAAGTCTCGCCTTTCCACTAAATTAATACGTCAGCAAGAAATTATGTGTAGAAGCCTGCAATCTTTTTTTAGCACCATCTTGTTATGAGAGATTATGAACCATGCAGGGAAACTATCAAACCTAAATAGGGCTACTTTCCCAATTTATTCAGATACTATTAAGATTCCACTAGAAAAGGCAACTAAGCACACCATTATTTGCATTTGGGCACGATTGGAGGAGACCTAAGCGAAGTTTACTTTATCTCCTAAAATTATATCCCCATCCTCAATCACAAAATTTCAAGGTACAGACCAGGTTGAAAGGTTAGGCTCATGCATAAAAGATAAGATAATTGAACGATAAAAAATCGGAAGGTTTAATAGTAGTAGTGATTAGTGAACACCTTCTTGCACAAAAATTGGTTGCCACTCAGCCAATTAAAGCTACATATGCTTTATCAAGAACACACACTTAGTTTATAATTGAGAAGTAGTAGAATAATCCAACAATTCTTTGTACTCGATTTTCCGAAGATTATTTAATTAATATTTATTTTCTTTTCTCATTTTGTATTTACTTATTATTTAATAATACTAATTCATCCTATTCAAATTTAGCTTTAGCTAGGCTAATAGAAGAGTAAAGTTTAATTTTATTTTATCATTTAACCAAAATAATAGGGGCATTATGTAAAGACAGAAATAATATAATCTATCCAAACATTATATTTATTAAGACAATAGAGAAAATGACATAAATAGTCCATTAACTATAGGAGTAGGTCTAAAATGGTCCCTTAACTATACACTTAACGGTTAGTCATTTAACTATTCAAAAACTTATCAACTTTGGTCCCTTAATTATACACTTACCGATTTTAGTCCTTTAATTATAAACTTACCTATTTTAGTCTTTTAAATATTCAAAAACTTATCGAAAATCTTTGTGAAATTAAATCTTTAACCACAATACAATAAACAGTATTAGCATCAAAAGAGGGAAGGATACCTGAAGGCGGTGACGGAAGGGAAATCAGAGGTGGTAACCATGACACATATAGAGATAACAGCAAACACAAACTGACACAATCGTAGAAAGAGGCTTCCAAGAGTACCAGGCATGCCTTGAAAGTCCTTCATCCTCACCATCGGTGCCGCCATAGTCATCGGCGGAGCCTCCACTGGGTGCACCGCCGGTCCACTCATCATTTCTCTCTCTCTTTGTGTATCGCCGTCTGCCTTTAAACTTGGAATTATAATTCAAGACATTTGTGAGGAATTCATGAAGAGAGAGAGAGATAAGAACCCTAAATGGAATCGGTAAAGTTAGTATAAAGGAAGAAGGAGAGTGGAGGTTTGAAACTCTACTGACGTTTGCCTCCTTTGGAAGGAGAACAAAAGGGCAGAATAAAATACGTAGCCCTATACCTTTTTTGGACGGTGTGTGACAATTCAGCCCAAATTCATTTGGCACGTCTAATTTCTAAATTTTAATAATGAGGTAGGTATGAGTTATATTCTTTTATTTGATTTTATTGTTTATGTTAAATTTTACACGTTTTTTTTTTTTTTTAAATAATTAATATTTATATTATGCAAAATAATTTGGAATATAAGTAATTGATATTAAGAGTATAAATCAATTAAGTTTGGACATAACTTATTTTATGGAAAAAAAACTAATCCAAAGTTGATACAAACCTTCAACTTCGATAACTTGATTCTTTTGTAATCAAAGTATAATCATGTACATTTATAATAGTGACAATGGTATTATTGAAACTTGCTTGAACATGAATAACTTTCTTTGGTATTCTACGTTCATTCTGACGCAGACTAAATTTTGAAATAATTTTTGCCATATTTTATTATCTCGTGAATATGAGTTAGAGATATATGTATATATCCTTTCATGTAAAAACGTATTCTTTATTTGTATATCTATTCTTCTAGTAAGTCTGATTAGTCATGTCGTTGTTTATGTGTAGAGTTGGAACAAATTACTATATATAATGCGTCCCCGCTTACAGATTAGTAGATATTTTTCACAAATTTTACGAACGAAAGCTTTTATTTTTCATATTTCGCATTTCTTACCTTAATTTTTAATCTATTTCTTGAAAGAAAATACTCAAATAAAAAGTTTTCAAATATTTTAAATTTTTTTTTATAAACTTATTTATAAGATGTTAAGTTTAATGTCATCATTTTTTCCTTAATACTAACTCTTTTGTATTACATTTCATGTATAGTATAAAGAATCTTGAGATACCTCAAAGGTTATATTGGCAAAGGAATAATCCTATACTAAACATGACTATAAAAATGTTGAAATCTGTAGTGATGTTGATTGGGGTGGGTCAACAGAGGATAGCCTAGCTGTTTTTTTTTTTTAACATTCTTTTTATATTGGGAAAATGCATAAGTACCCTCAGTCTATGCCCGAAATTCCAGTGACACACCTAACCTTTACTAAGGTCCTATTATCCCCCGAACTTATTTTATATGTAATATTCTACCCCTTTTTGGCCTACGTGGCACTATCTTGTGGGCCCAGCTCATGTTGACAATTTTTTTTGGGGGGGTACTTATGCATTTTCCCTTTTGTATTTGCAAAATGTTTCTTGTTTAACTGTAGATTATTTTATTTTGCACGTAGTTTGTTCTATAATTTTATTTTTATTTTTTTAATAATAAAGACAATTTATTTACCAAAGTACGAAATTATATATAGAGTATCTGGTTGTTGGACATAGTTTCATATATCAATAGTTAAGCATTTATACATGAGCTATTGTTCAAGGATAGTAATTAAGTTCCGCAATCTGACTAATTAACTTGGCCTTCAAATTATCTCGCATCACCACCATCTAAATAATTTGCCTTGAAAAACCCACATGATTTCTCTTCTTGGTCTAAAAGACTCGATTGTTATTTTCCTGTCATATCATATACACTGAATCAGTGATCCTAAGTAGTTCAACATGTGCATCCTTCCTATTAACATAAGTCTATAAATTAATGTTATTTTAAAGACAAATTAATAGGAAGACCTATCAAATTAACCTAATCTATATTGAACCTTCGATATAATTATAAGTAAAAATTGGTGTTTAGCCATTGTTGAAATGCGAAGTTTCAAAGTTTGAAAATTGAATTTTCACAAATAAGTTTTGTGTCAAATGGTATTATTGCAAAAGACCCGTTATTAAGTATCCTAAAATTGAATTTTTGGGTGATTTAGTGTTATTTTTTAGATGCTTTTTGTTAGAGAAAATAGCTAAATCCCCCCTCCCCCCTAATCTATTATCCAATTCTCAACTACACACTAATACTTTATGGTGATCCTATTACCCCCTTGAAGTATTTTAAACAGAGATATTGACACCCTTAAAACGTCACTCCTAATTTTTTATTACCCAGTGTAATACTCGTGCTTACTTTTTGCAGAATCAAAAAAAAAAAAAAATCATCACCAAAATCATTCTTTTTATGCATTGTTTTTGTTTTTTCTCCACCACTGTCCAATTTCATTATCATTCTATTCATCTTCTTAACTTGCCCCATTTTTCTCTTCATTGTTCTAATATGTCTCTTCTCCTCCAGTCATCTCCATCACCATTACACCATCATCCTTCACCTTTCTTCTATCTCTCCAATAACCTATTTTGCACAAAACCCAATTGGCATTGTTGAATTCAATAAAGTTGACATAGATATTAAATTTTTTTATGATGATATCTTATTGCCATAATGGTCTACACTTGTTGATTTTTAATTGCCCTTCTTGATGAATCTGAAGATGAATTTTTTCTTATCAAATCTCAAATTTTAGTACCCATTTTCAGTTTCAGTAAAAAAAAACTCGAACTGATACAATAATCAAAAAACAATTTCGACAAAAAGCTGTAATTTCGTCTTTTGATGTTGGACCAAAATGTTTTCCATTGAGGTGAAGAGATGGAAGAGTTATCTTTTTCTTTCTTCCGGTTATGTTGTCTTTTTTTAGAGAAAGATTTTGAATGTGTTGATAATGAAAAAACATATTGTGGGTTAAAAAAATGAAAAAATGAGAAGATAAAATATTGTATAGGTGATAATATGTTAGGGGGGCATTTGACTATTTTTTTTATGAATATGATGCTTGAGTTCAACCACTTCAGTTCCTACATCTTTATTTTTGTTTCATTTTGCATTGTTTGGTGCTTATTATTATTTTTTAAGTTTCATTTATTTTTTCTACTCCCTTCAATCTTAAATTTTACTTTCTTTATATCATTTAATGTCAATATATTTAACAAGACATAAGTTTGATGAAATATTTACATGAATATGTGATATGCACAGATAGATAGTATACTTAATTAATTAAAGGCGGAATGACCTGGGAGATCCCTGTACTTGACTCCGTTTGTCAGTTGGACCCTCCTACTCATCACTTTATCAACTGAACCCTTAAATTCGTTGAAACACAATATTTTAAACTCTTTTTTTGACTTATCATCCTATGTGACATTTTTGTCCAAAGTGTGTGTGATGCACATATTTTGGATGCGTGAGGGGTTCTGAAAAGGCAATGACTGCCACTTTTGACCTTTATACAATCATCTTCTTCCCCAATTATTTCAACACCATTTTGTTGATCAAATTTTGATTTCCTTATTGACTTCCACTCGATTTTTCTTCTCCAATATTCTCCCTCCACAAAACCTTCTTCTCTTAATTTTCTGATCAAGCCCATAAATTTCAGTGTTCTTTCTTTTCATATATATATATATATATATGAAAAAGCCGAGCAATGGTTGATGTTTCTTCTTCGAAAGAAGGAAAAAGCACATAATCAACAATAACTGAAAAAATCATCTCTGGGAAACCAGAGAGTAGTACTAACAAAGTTCCATCAGGAGTAAAAGTTTTTTCTTCTTTTTAGGTTGGCAAACAACACCCAAAGGAGGAAGAATATCTTGCCTTCACAAGATCTATTTACAACCTCCCAGAAGAAAGCGGAGAAACATTCAGTGTCTTAGAAACAACAAGTTTGTTTCCAAGAATATCAATATTTCCTAATGGATCACCGGGCTTTACAGCTCAATTATTTGAATTCGGATATTTAGATCGGGTGTATGCAACCAATTCTTTTTCATTCGTTGAATATCTTGTTTCTGCTTCATTGAAGGTACCACTTATGTATCTACAAATTTCATTTAAATCGGTTTGCAATAATGCTCCCCAATGATAATCTGATGCGTCAGTAAATTTTCTTTAATTTTTCAAGATTAAGACATTTACAAGAGATTTTTCTTAGGTTTTCTAAGTATCTCTTTTTATAATTTTCGTTATCCATTACAATACTATAAGGATTTTATTTTCTTGGGACTTTGATAAAATGTCCGCAAGGAGTTTTAAGGCTTATCATATTCTATGATACTAGAATAACAACATGTTGTCAGATAGACAATGGATCTGAAGCTAGTTTAGCAAAACCCTTTTTAATAAAAAATTGGGATATAAATAAAAATAACATCTCAATGATTGGAATTACAGGTAACAAAGAAAGATTATCACAGTCTAAGGAAAAAGTAGAAATAATTTTAGGATCAATGGAATAGAATGGAAGCATCAAGAAATATTAATACAAACAGAAGCAACAACTAACCATGTAAAAGGAATTCTAATAGATGGATTGCCCATCTACGAAGGAACTCAGTATACCTATAAAACTTTTGAAGGTAACAATTTTAGTTGTAAAAATATGGTAGATTTACCTATACAACTAGATACAATAAGTATAACAGTTCCATGTTATATTACAAATCACGAAAGTGATCAAAATCTCATCCTAGGAAATTTATTTCTAAATAGTCTTTTTTTTTAATTAAAATTTTTCAGTCAGTGGAGCAGATTTATTGATCATAAAGACAAAAGTCCAATTCTCCAGTCCTAAAATGTGTCTCCCAAAAGAAATAAACAACAATTAAAAAATTAAAAAGAAATAAAAGCTTAAACTCTATCTTTTGTTGAGCTGACCATTCATCTACTTTTCTCTTTGTCGGAAAATGTTGCATCCTTGTTGACGGCAAAGGTAATTTTCTTCTGCACCTCCATTCTTCTTCTCCTTCTTTGTAATGCTGTTGTTTTTCTTTCAGGGTATCGGTCACTCCTATATTCTGAGCATGTAGCCTTTTTTGATTGTGTTCATTTCCAACTGGAAAAAACTCAAAGGTTCCAGGTTCCATTTTGTTGCATCGTAGATATTTCTCTAATTTTGTGTAGAATCTTGTTAACCTTGTACAAATGCTTCTGTAGATTCTATCTATTTTTTTCCCCAATTGTTGTTTGCTTGA